AGATAATAGATAGATAGATAGATGATAGATAATAGATAGATAGATAGATAGATAGATAGATAGATAGATAGATAGATAGATAGATAGATAGATAATAGATAGATAGATAGATAGATAGATAATAGATAGATAGATAATAGATAGATAGATAGATAGATAGATAGATAGATAGATAGATAGATAGATAGATAGATAATAGATAGATAGATAGATAATAGATAGATAGATAGATAGATAGATAGATAGATAGATAGATAGATAATAGATAGATAGATAGATAGATAGATAGATAGATAGATAGATAGATAGATAATAGATAGATAGATAGATAGATAGATAGATAGATAGATAGATAGATAGATAGATAGATAGATAGATAGATAGATAGATAGATAATAGATAGATAGATAGATAGATAGATAGATAGATAGATAGATAGATAGATAGATAGATAGATAGATAGATAGATAGATAATAGATAGATAGATAGATAGATAGATAGATAGATAGATAGATAGATAGATAGATAGATAATAGATAGATAGATAGATAGATAGATAGATAGATAGATAGATAGATAGATAGATAGATAGATAATAGATAGATAGATAGATAGATAGATAGATAGATAGATAATAGATAGATAGATAGATAGATAGATAATAGATATGTAGATAGATAGATAGATAGATAGATAGATAGATAGATAGATAGATAGATAGATAGATAGATAGATAGATAGATAGATTGATAGATAGATAGATAGATAGATAATAGATAGATAGATAGATAGATAGATAGATAAATAGATAGATAGATAATAGATAGATAGATAGATAGATAGATAATAGATAGATAGATAGATAGATAGATAGATAGATAGATAATAGATAAATAGATAGATAGATAGATAGATAGATAATAGATAGATGATAGATAGATAGATATGGTCACTTTGAAGGGCTGGGTAAGTCATGGGCCAGATGTGTCTCCAGCCATGACCCAAGTCTACTGCTGTGCCGACACCCCCTGGCTGGATGATGATGGGATCGCTCCTGCTCCCCTGTATCCAGTCACTGTAAATTAGGTCACTCATATATCTGCATATCCGCACAGCACAGGAGCGGGCAGGAAGAATTCACACACAGGCATTTCTGATCTAGAAATATTTATTTAGAACACAAAAATAGATGCAGCAGGCTGTCCTCAGACCACGAACTATACATACACAATCCAGTCAATGAACTCAGTCCGACCCATTCAAGGAAATGAAAGATCAGCAGTGGTGTGCATAGCAACTAGACAGCAACTGCCATTCTACCAACATCAACTGCCATTCTACCGATGCGCATTTGAAATAAGAAAAGAATCTGGTTTCTATATGATACTACTTTTTGTTAGAGTTAAAGAATACAATAGTGTCACCTCCCCACCTACAGCCCGCTGATTGGACAATGAGGGAGCAGCAACACTACTACAACCCTGCTCTCTCCCCATCAGCATGTTATCTGTCAGTACACGTACTGTACATGCCGCTCCTAATACTGCATCTCCTTTTTCTAATTTGAGTGCTTGTGGAGGGAGCTAACTGCACCCATGTGGAGACCTGGAAAAAGTACATGCTAGTGCCCCCCAAGGCAGGCTAAGGATGCCCTTTATGCAAGGCTGGCGTTGAGGCAGCACACCAACTTAAAAGTGATGCTTCTCCAAAAGAACATATTTAACTCCTTGTACTCTGTGGCCCAACATCTGTACCAGGGGCGGACTGACCATTTGGAAACTCAGGCACTGCCCCAGGGCCCGGGGTCAGTAGGGGGCCCCATGAGATGCCCCTGGTACCTTTTTCATAGGCTTTTTTGAGTTTGGGCAAGAACAAAGGGGCCCCATGATCCCCTATTGCCCAGGGGCCCCATGAGTTGTCAGTCCGTACTTTTTACATTGATAACTATGAGGCATAATTCTTCTGTGACTTGTAGGCTGGGTCCCCAGGATGCCCCATGCCAGAAATCGAACCCAGTATTGGGGTTCTGGTCACTTGAGAGGGAGCCTATGCACACAAGTTCTCTCATTACCAGGGTCCTCCGCCACCTCTGCCAAGTCACACCGCTTCCTGACTGGCTGGCTGCTTAGGCACTCAACACTGGTACTGTAGTCATCAGCAACAGCAATATAGCTTTCTCTGCATTGCTTCACTGCACTTTGGTATTGCATCTCCTATAAGTTGAACTTGTCCCCTAATTAAGCATTGCTCTTGTGATATGCCATACATGCTTCACACCCTTTTAAGATTTTCCTCAAGTAACTTCAGACCAAGCCAAGTTGACAGTAAGCGTTCTTTACTGAAGTTGTTTAAATGTAACAAATGAACATTTTACAATCCTGTACACAATCTTCTAAGTGTCCCTTAGTTAGTGCACTGGTGCCCCTGATTGCCCCAGGAGGTAGTTATACCTTAATTAGGGGAGAAAGTCCTTAGAGTCCTTTGGTCAAGCAAAGTCCATGCCCCTGGAACCCCGACTGGGTTCCCGCAGGGGGGTGGTTAAGAACAAAGTAACAGATCACATCCTTAGCAGCATCCTGTTCCTTGAATGGGGAGAGCTGGAACCGTACATCCAGCCATCTTATTAATCACGAACCCCCCCCTCCAATCCCTTAAGCTCCATGAACACTAGGTTAAAAAAAGCTCCTAGCAGCAAGCAGCTTTTGAGCATTTTTTTTTTTTTTTTTCTGCCTCTAGAAGCAAATATCCTGTCATCCTATGCGTCCACGCACACTATTTTAGTCTAGAGGCATTTTTTTTAAAGCTTCAGTGTTTAGGAACAGAAAAAAATTATTTTGTGTCCATTTTTGGGAGCAATTTGCCAGCAGCAAAAAACACTGTACCAGTTTTCTGCATTTTGTTTTCTTAGTGGGCGGCTGCCAGTGTCCTTAACAACCAGTGATGCTTTTGTTGGTGAATGAGTAGGGGTACAATGTACCACATACTCATTTACATTGGGGGGGCAGGATCTGGGGACACACTTGTTAAAGGAGGCGTCCAAATTCCAATAGGCCCACAGACCCCCACAACCACCACCCAGGAAGAGGTCCTTGTCCCCATCAACATGGGGACAGGGTGCTTTGGGGAGGGAGCCCCCCTGCCTCAAAGCACCCCCATGTTAAGGGCATGTGGCCTGGTATGGTTCAGGATGGGGGGTGCTTGCTTGTCCCCCCCCTTTTCTGGCCTGCCGAGCTGCTTGCTTAGACAAGAGCCTGGTATGGATTTTGGGGTGGACTCCACACATTTTTTTTTTTTTTTTTAATTTTGGCGTAGGATTCTTCTCAAAATCCATAGCAGACCTAAGCGCCTGAAGGCACCCAAAGGGCCTGTTATTAATTGGGAAGGGGACTCCCATGCATTTTTAAAAAAACATTTTTTAATGTCGGCATTCCCCACTGACATTCAGTTGTCAGTGGGGAATCCCACTGACAGCTGATGAGTAATCAGTTGCTAAGGATGCAGACGGCAGGCCACACCATTAACAACCACTGGGCAGCACAGTGACTAAATGGTTAGCACTTCCGCATGGCAGTACTAGGGTTGTTGGTTCGAATCCCAGCCACAGCACCACCTGCCTGGAGTTTGCATGTTCTTCCTGTGTCTGCGTGGGTTTCCTCCAGGTACTCTGTTTTCCTCCCACACTCCAAAGACATGCTGGTAATTGGCTCCTGTATAAATTGTCCCTAGTATGTGTATGTATGAATGTAAGCTAGGGACCTTAGATTGTACACCCCTTGAGGGTTAGGGAATGATGTGAATGTATAATATATATGTAAAGTGCTGCGTAAATTGACGTCGCTATATAAGTACCTGAAATAAATAAATAAAATAAAACGGAAAACTGCCAGCACAAAAATGGGAAAATGCTAGCAAAAATCTAATATTGAACACTTTTAAACCACAGTTTTTCTGTTGTTTTTTTTCAGCTACTAGTGTGCATGGAGTCTTATTGTCCCTGTGGGGAATTTCCTTTTATTCGTATTCCTTTTATTTCCTTTATATTCTGTATAGTAATGGTGATTCAGCTGTTGGCATTGGGTCAACCAGGTATCTGATACACCTTATCAGTTAATTTTTTTTTTTTTTGCACAAATTTGCAAAGTTTCAGCAGCCTTGATAATTTGAGGGGATGGATCTGATACGATCAAAGTGTGAAAGGGTTACAAAAAAGCTTTTGTTCACTAATGAAAACATTAACCTCTGAAGTAGCGTAGTCAGACCTAATGCCGACATAACAATCGAAATTCAGAATGGGGAACGAAAGGCACTACTCTGACTCTGAAGATCAGAGGACAACAACTTAAAAGTGAATTTGGAATGCAGTCAGGCAGTAGCAGAAGTCAGCATGATTGAGAGTTGCATAAGATGCTTCACGGGCAGAAAAAAAATCTCAGGTTGCAGAGTTTAATTTAAAGTGTGTCTGATGGCTAGAAACAAAGGACACCCAAATTCTACTCTGAATTAGGGAAAGGCAGCTGTCAGATCAAAGGGTGGTTGTAATGTGAGCCCAGGTATAGTCATGGGTTGAAGAATTTGCAGAATTTTAGCGGATGGGGGTGGGAGAGTAGAGATGAACGGGCCCTGAGGTTTTTTATTTTGTATTTTTTTCACTTTATGAGATTTACCCCTACTTTAATGCTCTGGGGCTTGGCTTAACAGTGTTGAGGCATCAAGAAGTAAAAATATATAAAGTATCTAAAGCAAAAAGTTTTATTTGTAGTTTTGGATAGAGTAAGGGTTGGAATTCTGGTCAGGAGACACATAAGGAAGTCAAAGAATATTCCTGCAAAGTAAGGGGAAATCCCCTCTTATTTGTCAATGGAGAAGGTATCCTCACTGAATGAATCCTCCTGTTCAGGTGACTTTGCAAATTTTTGTTTCCCCATTTAGTGGCAAAAACACAGGTATTAATTTGTATTTTATTTTATATCCTAGAGTGAAAAAAAACATGCTGTGAAGAATGTCTAACTCAGGCAAATTTAGTACTGCATCCACTGGATCCCCCCATTCCTTTCAAGGTCCAAACCAAGGGCAGGGTTTACCACAGCCCCGTCAAGGCATTACTATCCAGCTGACCAAAGTGCACAGTGAAGACAACTGGGAGGAATTAGAGGAGAGTGATCTCATCTTTACCCTGGATCAAGATGAAGAGGAGGCCTTGCTGGCAAATCCAGTACCCAACAAAGCCAGAGGTCCTGTGTATGGGCAGCCAGTGGGGAAAGAAGGAACTGTGGTCGATGAGCTAGCTCTCGCTGCATATGAATGTGCAGGTGATGTTCTCCTGTCCAGTGAAATCCAGAAATGTAGTTCTCCATTGATGCCAAGCTCACCCTCTTCTAAACCTCTCATCAACCTGGTCAAGTCTGTCTCTACTGAAATTGATGCCAAGGATCCTTCTCCTCACAAACCCCATCCATTTGTCAACCTAGTCAAGTCTATCTCCACTGAAATTTCCCGACTTGAACCAGAGGTATCGCAGTCCAAGTCAGACTCTAAGCTGAACGTTCATCTGTGGAAACAGATAACCCAGCCCAAGAGCAAAAATGGAGACTCTAGGACAGCTCCATCCTCACCTAGCTTGTCACCTTCTGAAAGCAAAGGTATGTTTTTTAATGTACAGGAAGTAGAAGCCAAACTGGAGGACACCAAGAGGAGGTTGTCAGAAGCCATGCAAGAACCTTTAAGCATGCTTAGCAAAATTATCGGTGAGGAGCCAACACCGAGCCCCAAATATAGAACTATGCCCCCAATGTTTTCTAGCCAGGAGTCCCCAACAAATCAACAGAGGGACCAAGGTTTTTTTGATACAAAGAACAGTTTTCCAAGTTATGGAAAGTTAGAAGAAAGTGAAAACCTGGAGTTTATGGAGAATTCCAGAAGTGTTCATCGAGAGGCACCTAAAAACTACTGCAAATATAAGATCTGCTCCTATGGGGACATGATCCAAGTTGTAGAACTAGCCAACGATGTAGAATCAGAAGATCATAATTTATTGGAGCCTGCAACCTCTTGCCAAACGACCCATCATAACAATGATGTGCCATGCAGTGCCCTGGTCTGCGTAGCAATCCTAGCTTACAACTTCTTCATTTGGCCCCTGCCAGCCTATATATCTGGACTCCTCATGGGTATTACTAGTGGGTTTCTCCTGGGACTTTTTATGGTGCTTTTGTTGGTCCCAAAGCCTTCCTACTCCTCCAGACACAAGAGATGCCTGCGGGAAAGTTCAAAATTCCAGTTGGCAGCTCCAAAAGTCCAGGAACCCTGTGTCTTTCAGGTATGCTATGTTCACCCAAAAGAATAAAACACAACAATGGCACAATGCACAAATGTAGTGCAGGCTAGTTCACACCACTGCATAATGCGCAGTAAAACATGTTTTATCACACGACACATAATTTTGTGGTCCTTAAGGATGAAATAAAATTAAAGTTTACTACAGACTACTTATATCTATTTTTAAATGAAATGTCAGGTCATTTTTCACACCCTTCCCCTGTGCAAGAAATTCCATGGCAAAAGCTGTTACACTAGACTGCAACTGAAACCTTTTATAGCCAATCAAGTTATGGTGAATGTGCTTGGTGTCAGTAAATGGACTCTTCAAACTGTATTATTGAAAATATATGGACATATACCAGTCAATATTGTTTTAGGTACCAACTAAAATACTAATTTCCAATCAATATATACTTAGGGATTTTTAAAGTACTAAAAAATACTAGTACACACACTAATTAAAAAATATAATTTTATTATACAAAGATGCATGTTAAAATCAAGCATGGACTAAAAGTACCTATGTACCACCACTCCAGGAAGAATTTACCCCCTTCATGACCAGGCCATTTTTTGCAATGCGGCGCTGCGCTAATTTAACTGGCTATTGAGCAGTCATGAAATGCTGTACCCACATGAAATTTATATCATTTTTTTTCCTTTGGTGGTATTTGAGCACCACAGGGATTTTATAAATAAACACATATCGGAAATTAAAAAAAAATATTTTTCTACTTTCTGCTATAAAATATATTCAATAATAATAAAAAAATGTAATTTCTTCCAAATTTAGGTCAAAATGTATTCTGCTACATGTCTTTGGTAAAAAAAAAAAAATTCCAATAAGTATATATTGATTGGTTTGTGTGAAAGTTAAAGCATCTATAAACAATGGTATATATAGTGAAATTTTTTTTTTTATATATATAAAGTAATGGCAGCAATCAGCGACTTATATTGGGAGTGTCATAGGGCGATGGGTAATCTGACACTAACTGCCTCTGGGTGGAAACTGACTAAATGACACTGACATCTCTAGTGACACTTACACAGTGTCTGGTAAAAACAAATCCCAATAAGTGTATATTGATTTGTTCGTGTGAAAGTTAAAGCAGCTATAAACAATGATATATATACTGAAATATTTTTTTTGTATATATGCAAAGAATGGCGATGATCAGCAACTTATATTGGGACTGTAATAGTGCTGGTGGGTAATCTGACACTAACTGACCCTGGGTGGGAACTGACTAAATGACACTGACATCTCTAGTGACACTAATACAGTCTTTGGTTCAAAAAATCCCAATAAGTGTATATTGATTGGTTTGTGTGAAAGTTAAAGCGTCTATAAATGATGGTAAATATAGGGAATTTTTTTAATATATATATATATACAAGTAACGGCAGTGATCAGCTACTTATATTGGGACTGTAATAGTCTGGTGGGAAATCTGACACTAACTGACCCTGGGTGGGAACTGACTAAATGACACTGACATCTCTAGTGACACTAATACAGTGTCTTTGGTAAAAAATAAATCCCAATAAGTGTATATTGATTGGTTTGTGTGAAAGTTAAAGCATCTATAAACAATGATATATATACTGAATGAATTTTTATATATATATATATATATATATATATATATATATATACACACAAGTAATGGCGGAGATCAGGGACTTATATTGGGCCTGTAATAGTGTGGTGGAAAATCTGACACTAACTGACTCTGGGTGGGAACTGACTAAATGACACTGACATTTCTAGTGACACTATACTGTGTCTTTGGTAAAAAAAAAATCCCAATAAGTGTATATTGTTTATAATAATAATATTGATAGGTTTGTGTGTGAAAGTTAAAGCGTCTATAAACAATGGTATATATACTAAATTTTTGTTTTTTTTTATATATATATACAAGTAATGGCGGTGATCAGCAACTTATATTGGGTCTGTAATAGTGCGGTGGGTAATTTGACACTAACTGACTGAGTATACACTGTCACTGTACTAACGGGAAGGGGTTGACATCTTGAGGCAATCAAAGAGTTAACTTTGAGCCTAACAATGTTTGCTGTGTGCAAAGTGTGTTGTTTTTACTAAGCAATGTGTTTGGTCTTTCCTGTGCTGTCTGTATGCACAGTAAGGACAAGAGGGGGGCAGGAGGGGCAGGCGCCCTGGGCGCAGCACTGTCACACTTGGGGAGCACCACAAGCCAAGTTCCCCTGACTGCACACACGCTCCAGATCAGTGGCTGGCAACTGGCAGCTTGGAGCTTCATGTCATCCACTGCTGACACAAATAACATACCGCCTATGTGCAGCCACTTCCTGGGTGTTGGAGAGTAAGGATCTGGCCACCCATGCACAGTGCACGACAGGGGCGGACTGACCAATTAGGCACTCTGGCATTGCCGAGGGCCCAGGGTCAGTAGGGGGCCCCATGAGATGCCCCTGGTACCTTTCATAGGCTTTTTTTCGGTGTGGTTTGAGTGTGAGAGAGGACACAGAGGCCCCATGATTTCCTATTGCCCGGGGGCCCCATGAGTTGTCAGTCCGCCCCTAGTGCACGATCCAAGCCAACCATGGGCAGCCACTGCAAGGGGAAGGAAAAATCTGTTTCCTTTCTGTCACCTACCGCACGGGGGTGACACCAGACCTGCTCCACCAAAAGGTAAGTTGTAAAGCAAGCTGATGATCCCCACAGGTTGGATCGGATCTGCGGATTGAGCATAATGGATCGGACTCCGGGGATCGTCGGCTTGCTTTACAACTTACCTTTTCAACTTACCTTTTCATGGAGCGGGTCCGGTGTCACCCCGTATAGGTTGCATGCCAACGATCCCCGCAGGATGGATGGGATCTGCGGATTGGGGAAGATAATGGATCAGGACTCTGATCCATTATGCTCAATCCACAGATCTGATCCATCCTGCGGGGATCGTCGGCATGCAACCTATTCGGGGTGACACCGGACCCGCTCCATGAAAAGGTAAGTTGTAAAGCAAGCTGAGGATCCCCGCAGGATGGATGGGATCTGCGGATTGGGGGAAATGGATGGATCGGATCCATTATGCTCTCTGATCCATTATGCTCAATCCGCAGATCTGATCCATCCTGCGGGGATCTCGTCGGCATATCCGCAACCTGTACAGGGTGACACCGGACCCGCTGCATGTGAAAAGGTAAGTTGTAAAGCAAGCTGACGATCCCCGCAGGATGGATGGGATCTGCGGATGGGAAAGATATTGGATCGGACTCTGATCCATTATGCTCAATCCACAGTTCTGATCCATCCTGCGGGGATCATCGGCATGTAACCTATACAGGGTGACACCGGACCCGCTGCATGAAAAGGTAAGTTGTAAAGCAAGCTGACAATCCCCGCAGGATGGATCGGGTCTGCGAATTGAGCATAATAGATCGGAGTCTGATCCATTATGCTCAATCCGCAGATCTGATCCATTCTGCAGGGATCGTCGGAGGGGGTGTCACCAAGTGTTACAGCACCGGGTGACACCAACCCTAGGGACGCCTCTGGTTGTATTATAGATGCACAAAGCAGTTCATCCTGTGGAACATGAAATATAGTTTGGTGGGTAGTCATTCCGAGGATGACTGCACACTTTCAATCACTTCACCGCCTCTTCTGTGAAATGCAATTTAACAATTGTTGGGAACAGCTGCAGAGGTGGGTGGGTGACGCGGATGTTGGCACTGCAGATAGGGGCGACATTGTTATCAGGGTACACTGTGTGCTGCCAACATATATTAGCAGATTTTACCTCGTCGCCAGCCGCATTAACACAGGACAGCAGAAGGCAATTCCAGATGTAAAATGTATGCAGTACAATAGGAATTCGTTTCTGTGTATGCTGGGGTTATATCCTCAGACTTCACTAATCATGGAAGAATCTCATCATCAGCAGAACAATTGTGTTTATGAAAGAATTGGCGATTTCAGAAATCAAGTGAATCAGACCAGATTATCTTCTTGTGACTTACTAAAAGATTATTTTCAAGCGAAAGAACATTGAAATGATTGAATTATTGATGGATTGTTTATTGGTGCATGTATGGCTAGCAATGCGGCTCAGACAATGGCGGAGTAATAAGCTTGATGGACATACTTCACACTTAAAGCTGAACCCAGAAATATAGCGAAGTACAGAGATAAAATACACGGCTCAAAAAATGACAGGAACACATTTTAATCAGAGTACAGCATCAAGTCAATGAAACTCCTGGGATATTGATCTGGTGAGGGGGTTGTTAATCACTTTCAGCTGCTTTGGTGTTAATGAAATTAACAACAGGTGCACTAGATGGGCAACAATGAGGCAACCCCCAAAACGGGAATGGTTTTTACAGGTGGAGGCCACTGATATTTTTTCCCTACTCATCTTTTCTGACTGTTTTTCACTAGTATTGCATTTGGCTAGGGTCAGTGTCACTACTGGTAGCATGAGGCCATACCTGGACCCTACAGAGGTTGTACAGCCTGTCCAACTCCTCCAGGGTACCACATCAATACGTACCATTGCCAGAAGGTTTGCTGTGTCTCCCAGCACAGTCTCAAGAGCATAAAAGAGATTCCAGGAGACAGGTAGTTACTCTAGGAGAGCTGGACAGGGCCGTAGAAGGTCCTTAACCCATCAGCAGGACGATATCTGCTCCTTTGTGCAAGGAGGAACAGGATGAGCACTGCCAGAGCCCTACAAAATGACCTCCAGCAGGCCACTGGTGTGAATGTCTCTGACCAAACAATCAGAAACAGACTTCATGAGGGTGGCCTGAGGGCCCGACATCCTCTAGTGGGCCCTGTGCTCACTGCCCAGCACCATAGAGCTTGATTGGCATTTGCCATTGAACACCAGAATTGGCAGGTCCACCACTGGCGCCCTGTGCTTTTTATAGACGAGAGCAGGTTCCCCCTGAGCACATGTGACAGACGTGAAAGGGTCTGGAGAAGCCGTGGAGAACGTTATGCTG